ATTAATTATAAGGATCTACAGATTTGTTACCCAGATTTTAGAACGATCAAAATTATCTAAGGAATCGGGAGATGTTCCAAGATTACAATCAACATCGGAGTAGGAGCCATTGATTGATAATAATGGGCACAAGCCCATTACTATACAAAATTCGCTTTATATGCGAAAAATTCATAATAAAGACGCAAATCATCACAAAAATTTGAATGTGATGATTATAATTTTAAGCAAAACTCAGCATCATACGACTCACATTTAAAATGCAAACAATACCAATAATATTAATATGGATGAGGCATGAAAAGAACGAGGGACAGCAAAGGTCACGGCATCGGAGTAAATGACTAATACAACTATTACGAGGATTGCGAAGTTTATTTTTAAATTTTAAATACTACGCATGATCATGTTTCCTTAATTTTTATTTGATTGCTATCACTATTCGAGATTCTTAGAGTATGTGGTCGAAGGTGATAAAATTTTAGAAACTTAAACATAGGTATGTGGTTAAAAAAGTATATTGATCCTGAATCATTGCACATTTGTGGAGTGGTATGCACTTCAGTTATTATAAAACGAGAGATTACAAGTTTACCTCTATATGCGGTACATTTATGCAATGAAGAGTTACCACATTCAGTTCAAAGGTACTTTAAAAGGTCTAGAGGTCTATAATGAAGTGATCACAACCTGCAATTTCGAATAAACTTAGCCAAATGAGGCTCCAACCATTAGCCCCACAAAAACAACGATTTGTAAGCAGATGACATCATTGAAGATTGATGCGGGTATAAAAACTACGCAAAATATGTATTGGGGAATCCTGGTTCATTTGCCCTAATAGTTAGAGAGCAAGATGTTCAATCAAAGCACTAAATTAGGATTTTTTGAGTTTCGCTTGTTTGTTTTAGACTCCCAGATGGCTATCGTTGAATCTCCCTTCCTCACTTTTAGGACTTCTTATGGTGTTCTCGAATCACATTTACTGTTTACGTTTACAAACGAGTTAAAAGCATAATAATATTGGTGATTGATTTGTCCCGAAATAAAGCGCATGTTGTGTAGCGAAATATTGGTTTTTCGGTCAGATATGATTTATTCTTCTAAAGTAAGTATTATTTTCGTATAACAGTTTATTTTGTAGTGTGTAATATTAACTAGTTTCATTAGATCACTAATAATTTGTTATATTTTTACTAAGCACACGATATTAGAGCTTGTTGCAATTTATTAAGCACATTTAACTTGTAATTCACACCCGGTCGGTTTAGTTTTTAATTATTCGGCACATAAAGATAATTATGATAGAGATTAGTTTGATAATGATGCAAATCCGTAAGAAATTTTTTGAATCTGTAATACTGCATGCGTGCGAGCAACTAATTCAGAAGCCGTTAAGATATCCGAGTGCATTTGAAATCGTTAATCGTACATCCGCGAAATCCGATGCCGGTACAATTAACGAGCGCTTTCTATAAAATTGTTTTCGAGACAGCGTTTTGCTCATCATATTTCAGAAAAAAATCAGCTTCCTTTGGATTAAAATGATTTGCTGGCAAGTCGACCTCCTTTAAGTGCATTAAAATTTAAAATCTAAAACAGGAAACGATTTATTATCAGCCTATTTGAGTCTCTAATTACATCAAGTCGAGAGTAATGGACAACACGCATAAGTTGTAATATTAAGTTAANGCCATGTCCATTTTCTAGGGTTACAATTTAATGACCTGACACGATAGTTATGATCGTTTTTATGAGTCTAATTAAAGATATGACTAATGTTCTGTCATTTAGGAGCAATTAGCAATAAGTTATTGTGCAAACTAATGTTTTACCGTAGGCGTACATTTAAAAATTGCATCTTCTCAATCTTTCAAAGAGTCAACGCCGAATAGAGACGCTGGCATTGGCACAATCAATTGTTCTTACGTGGGTAATTTGTATAATAATGTTTGGCATTGGCAATAACGCCTCGCCTGTTGGGGATCAGTCTACGACCGCCTATTACCTAATTAAGACATCTTACGAACAGCTCTGGTTGAGCAAGAAATTCAACTCATATTGTATGTACGCAAATGTTTGCTGAGACTTTCAATTTGAGTATAACTCGGCCATGGACGGTAAGTATGGCTTTTTACATTGGCGAGATATTCGTCAAGCTCTGACTCACAATTTGAAGTTATGTTAGTAACGTTTACAGTACCTGCGCAGTGTTTTGGAAGTTTTCCAACTTAGATCACCAGTGAAACAAACACAGACAGTTCTCAAGTTCATCAGTAACTAAATGGAGTTATAACTGAGTTACTTTTTAAAGCTTATTTTTGCGAGGTTTGTAGTTATTTAACTCACAATGTTATCATTGGCATGGAGAGTAAGCAAATTGGTAATCGTCACTAATCGATCAGTGCTAGTTTTCGATAAAGAATTATGTGGTGGTAAAAAGGCTACTAGTTACGTAATCGAGTAATTTATTTTGAATTGAACCTTCACTTTTATACTATGGCCTTCCCCTTTCGCCCCAGAGATCCCTTAACTGGAAAATACTTTAAATGGCTCTTGAGTGTATTCAAATCTTCTTTTAGTTTGACCCTTTGGTAGACCGGCAGACTATCTATCTAAAGCAGTTCTCTACTAAGTTATAGCTAACTAGAGGGCGCTGAAAAGGAGCAAACATTGACTTGGAAATGGCAGATAGGAATACGTAACTAATAGATACTGGATACTTGTGGATACCGAAAAAGGAAAGACTCGTTGGCAGACTACCTGTAGATAAGTCGCTAACATGACACAAAAACACCGGATGCTATCGGCTATTAATATTTATAATACGAATGATACTAGGGAGACGGCCAGAAAAGGATCAGGGATGGGTACGTACATAAAAGTGGACGAAGAAAGAAATGAGGAATACCAATGTTAATCATTTGCGGGAGTTAAAAGGCTATTGTATGAAAGATACAGAAGTATGCACTAACAATCATCTAACTTTTAATGACGTCAGCTACTTCTTATACTTCGACCTAGTGTGCCAATCAAATGACCTCAATAAAAAACTAACACTTATCTATGGCCCCTGAACTTTATTTTTTACATCAGCTGATATTAAGACGTCGATATCTGATCTTACAACCTGCAATTTTATAACGTAAACTTGTCAAGTGCATAATTATACTTCTCATTGATATACGCTTAAAGGCTTTCGTATTTACAATCAAATCACTTCATGGCTCTTGGAAACAACTTCACCAACGCCAGTTATAGGGCTTTTACTCTCACCCAATACAGGTAGATACGATCTTTTTCTCATAGGCAATTTAAAATTCAACAGATGAAAATAGGAACAAATAAAACATAATATAACTTATCATCTGTTTACACACAATTGGTAGCACGAGGGGTTCATATCGTTCGTTGTTTTAAGAAAAAGCAATGGAACGTAAACGTGACCTTCGCCTGTGCTTGTATCATCGTTGATCGGATAATGTTGGTTATAAATTGAGCTATGTAAGTAATCTGCCTTCTAATGCACAATTATATCTTGATGATCGAAGCACGACGGAGCATTCTTCAAGAACACTCGGCATGTGAGTAGATGAGAAAATAAAACGTTATTAGCAAGGAGCACAACGTTTACGGTTATTTTTCTTGTAGACAGAAATATAACATAGCAATTTTTAATATCTGCCTTACATACTTGAGTAGCAGATTCCAGTGGTCATTTAGTCCTTTTTGCATTGATGGGCAGTCTATTCTTATTGTAGGTGTGTAAAGTAGGCGTCGCTTACGATCGCTTGATAACGGCGACAGATTTGTACGGAAGGAGTCTTCCTTATTTTTTACCTGATATTGAACTAACTGTTTAGTTTTCTTTGAACCAGACTTGTTATTATAAGCCTCGAACATTTTGTTTTAACACCAGTGATACCACGTCAATGTTATTCAATTTCGATGTTCCTAATTTCAATTTTGGCTAGGTCCAACGGTATCGTCTGCGACATTATCATGAAATAGAGATTATGGACGAGTGCCGTTAAATTGTGAAGTTTCTGTTTCGATTTCATTGTCCACATAAATTATTTTAATAACCGCTGTAGTGTTAACCCACGCATTTTACTTAACAGCTTTTAAAAGATCTTGATCGTGGGAAATGCAGAAAAGTAGAGATGATGCAGATTAATTTGCTCTATGAATAATTTTAGTGTTCTTAGTAACATCGTTTTACACAATTGATCTCGAAAAGAAATACGTGCTGAAATCATATTACCTACCTATCAAAATCAAATCAATCAAGATTTGTTTGTCTCGAAGAAAGCTTCCCGGAGACAATCTGTGCCAGGTTTATGATTGGCAAATACCTCTAACTTGACTCATCTTTTCGCAAGAAAACTAGGCGATATGGTAGGTAGGTTTTAGGTAGCCTAGGCGGTTTCTTGAGGGAGTGGAAGACAGCCAGACTCCATAAAGTTCCCATAAGAACATTATTAATTTTAAACGTAACGAGTTTTGGAGCCGAAACTTTGTATTCAAATTTTCAGTGCAAACCTAGTTGGATTTCAGGTTACTATTTTAAGATAAGGCGCGAGTTCCTTGCCCCAAGGTCGGTGACCGGGGTCAAGTCAGACAGAGCCTGTGGACGAGGGTGACCTTTAATATGCTTGACGGGTCTCTGTATTGTTCTAGGGTTACCTTCTTGTGTTTAGTCATACAGGATGCCTTAAAGTGACTAAGGGCTTAATATTGGTTCACACACCTAAACTGCAGGTAGACGCACATCAATGTTACCATTTCCAATGAACTTTGTCTTAATTAGGTATGCATCAGATGTTTTTAAATATAACTTAAAATTGTGACCAAAAAAAGTTCGCAAAACAACAAAATCTTCTGTTTTTTTTTCTATCGCTCTTTGGCTTATTCACGAAATGAAAAAATCGAACACAACAATACCCAATACAAACTATACAACGTCACCCAGACACGTATACCTCAAGAAGTAGACTTACAGGTAAATAAGCGACGAAACACCCGAAGTTCTCGATAACCTCCGTCAACTTTCACAAAACTTCATAACACAAGTGTTGAGCACTGTTGTCACAATATTATTCACTTAGAAATAACAAATATACACTCGTATAACGGCAGTTTACACTCATATTTTGGTTACACCGTAGTTTAGCGGAGTCGAAATCGGCGACTGTCGCAGACGCGAACGATTGAAAAGACTGGTTGTCCGAGTGGAGGTTGCGCGAACGCAGCACCGCATTCCACGAGTTCTACTCGAGGCACGTAAACTATGCCTCTCTCTATCCGGCCTGCGCTATTCCGCCTTGTGAGACAAAGACCGCGATACGCCTTCATACGCTCAACCTGGCCGTATAGGTAGGTAGGGCCCGTTATTCATACACAGGTAAACGCGGTTTTAATAAATAATTAAACTGCGTTACAACACGATTGAATGTGAATTTGCGAGTCATAAATATATGATAAAAAGAAATGTGTATCAATAAATATATCACTTTCAGTGGGGATGCTGATGCTGATCGCTGGCTTAGAGTTTACTAATATCATGCAATGATAAGTGGAGCGGAACAACCACACACTTTTTGCAAAGCAATTAACGTCGTCAGTCGGTACACTTACTGTCAAAAGTGAAAGCCTAAATGCAATTAATCAGCAAATATTAATTGGAAATTAAAGTGCTCATTGTTGACAAATTCGTTTTCTTATTTTGTCAGTGCCGCTTGTATTGAAAATTGGCTACTATACAATCTTGTGCGATAAGTAGTAATTACTATCATAAAAAAAACACACACAGATTATTATGGATCGATAGAGATAGATTAATATCTGATAATTTGAACACAATCCGCTTAATTAAGATTTAAGTACACGAGAGAGCACCAACCAACGCCTGATACTTTATTATGAGAAATCGTACCAGCGAGTGAATTTTACGGAAATTAATACGTTATGTAGGATTATATTTAAAATTCCTAAAAAATAACAATTTAACAGGCTCTTAGCTTAACTCCAATAGTTAATTCTTAATTTCAACAGAAGTAATATAAATTTTAACATTGAGTGTACCTAATCTGACAGATTACTATGGAATCTTAACATTATTCGTTTTCCGAGAAACGCTTCATTTTGTAAACAGTCTGTCCATCAGTCCGTTACTAGTTTATGATAATCCAGTGTATTTATCCTAATCGCGATTCAGAACCACCACAAGAACCACTCTATTGTCTCTATTTGAATTTTGCTTGTCGAAAAAATACATGTTTGTTTATGTCTTTTGGAGCAAAAACACGCACAACAACCACTAATATCTCAGGGCTCTAGCCTCTACCCTGTATAATATCAATACAGGGTATCAATATCAATTCAATCAACGTACTTAATTAATTAGTACTAAACTACTAATATCAATTAGAGCAAACAAAAATTATTCGTATTATTTTAATAAATAAGCCACATTTTACGTAATACCGCAAAAACATCTTCACAAATTTCCGTTTTTTTTTTTAATTATTTTTATCAACCATTTTGATTCTCATCCAACGTAATCAAAATGTAATCGGAAGCGCACATGAAAAAAAAAGCAATGTCAAAGTGACATTTCATTGACATTATTTTGACATTGACATTTCAACATACGGGTTTGCTTGGTTGGTGCGTGGTTTTTATTGTTTTTCAGAGAATAAACTGCCTATTTTATTCTTTTTGGTGATAGTTTAGTGATATCTAAAATGCCTAAAGTGCGCCGCAGCCGTAAATCTCCACCAGAAGGATGGGAATTAATCGAGCCTACTTTGGAAGAGTTGGAACAAAAAATGCGAGAAGGTAACCGTGATTCATTTTGTTATTTATTGTGTAATTGAAGACTAATCTGAGATATTATTTACTAATTATTGCGTCTGTTTCCAGCTGAAACCGAGCCTCACGAAGGGAAACGCAAACAAGAGTCTCTATGGCCGATATTCAAGATTCACCATCAGAAGTCGCGGTACATCTACGATCTGTTTTATCGTCGAAAAGCCGTCAGCAGGGAGCTATACCAGTACTGTCTTGACGAGAAAATTGCCGACGCTAACCTCATAGCTAAGTGGAAGAAGACTGGCTATGAAAACTTGTGTTGCCTGAGATGTATTCAAACGAGAGACACTAATTTTGCCACCAACTGTATCTGTAGAGTGCCAAAAAGCAAATTAGAAGAAGGAAGAATCGTGGAGTGTATTCACTGTGGTTGTAGAGGATGCTCAGGTTAATTTGTGTAAGATTTAGGTATAGAAAAATTTTGTGGGTAAGGTTATGTTTACTTGATGTGAAGTTATTGTTGACATGCCTGGAAAGTTTGCCTAAGGCTTGTCTAACAAGTATTCAATTAAATAAATACAAATTATTACAAATTATGCATAAATGTTTTTCACAATAACTTTTTTTAATGTGGTAATATCTCACCATATCTTGTGTAAAACAAATGCAAATAATATTATAAAGAACTGCAAGTTGAATACAATTTTGCAATGGACAAGAAATGTATTTTGAGTTAAATACATCCAATAAAGTTTTTTATAAGACGTGACAAAGTAATTCTTTTTTCATTTTCCTATAGCAGTTTTAGTTTATAATAATTACAAATAAAATTCAATTTTTTCAAAGTAAATCAACATTTATTTAACAACAAATCAACATAGCTAGTTAAATAACTTCCATTTATTCTTAACTTTAATTAAGAACTTTTAGCATTAGAAAAATAGACAACTAATAATTTGTAGGAAATGTTGTCAATCACAATTTACAATATCTAATTGAGATAATAAGGCACAGTACAATTTGGTAATTATATTACTAATAATATGAGCATACATTTTTCATTAATTCTTATAAATTTAGACTTATAATTTGAAGTACCTAAATCACAATAACTCAGTATTCATAACCATTAATTTTAAATAATATATAACAATTCAAATGCAAAACAAAACATAAAACATCCTTCTGATAAACATTTCAGTACACAGTACAGTAACAAAGATTATTGAAAATTATTCCATAAAAATCATTTAGAAAATGTGTATTAATTACCTTTTAATCAACTGGTAAATTTTAATGACAAGTTTAGTTAATTAGGGAAGTTATGATATGAACATAATAATGGCAAACTATTCAAAACCTGTTACTTATAATCAGTCTTTGATAATTATTTACACTTATTATTAACATGAGATCTAATCACAAGTCACAACCTCCTTATTACAATTAAATTTTACGAATAAACATCAAACCATTATAGTTTTGTGCTCCAACTCTTTAGACAGTTCTATGAGCAATTCTTTATAAATTATCGGATTCATGTTATTGCCCAGCAAGTACAATATGAACCAGTCACCGAATCCAAAGCGCTTTACGATTCTACTCACAATATTCCTATTGATGTAACGTAGCTGTGCCATGATGAGTGCAGTACGGAGTGGAGAGAATGACAGGACCAGAAATCTAAAAAGGACAGCAGCAGTCGACATGAAAGCGAGAAAGATCAGCCAAAACCAGAGAATGACAAAGATCTTTTCATTGACAATGTTAAGGGGTAGAACGCAGAGTCGGTCTTTAAGCTGCAGGGTGCCAGTGGGTCCATAGCTTCTTAGCCAGCACTTGGTGAGTTTCGGGAAGTATTGGTCCATTGGGTTGACGGATGCGAAATCTATCATGTTGGCGGGAACGCGCGGTGTGTGTGTGAACGCAGCGACTGCAGCGCCGTAGTTGCGGAATGCTCCGCCCAGAAATATATCCAGGAGGAATATTTGGCCAACCTGTGTGGAGAATCAATGATAAAATACATTCTAACAAATAGACTAGGGCAGTTGCTTTTAAGCACTGTTTAATGATAAAATTACGGCACCACCTGACTTTAACAAACGTCAAAAATCTGTCAAACTCCATACAAAAAGCACCGGTTATTGTTATAATGGTTAAAGTAAGATGGTGCAACTCAGCCTAAGAATAGATTATAGTTGTTGTGGTTAAACAAAAATGTAACTCACCACATTGGCAAGGTTGAGGAGCTCGCAGAAGGCATACCGCAGCGCGTACATGTTATGCGTGTAGATGTTGGTATAGCTTAAGTAGGACACCAGCTCGCCGCGACGGAACTCCGACCAGTCTTTTGTCACGAGGGGGCTGCCTAAAGTTGACCAAAAGATTAAGACATTAAAATGAAACTAAGAGGTTCAAAGCAAGGCTTTTTATGAGAATTTAGGCTTGACAGAAATAAATGTCAACAAATTAAATTACACCTTAACTAAAACTATTGTTTTAAAAGCTTAAAAAGATTTACTGGAATAAAGTTTCATAATTATGTTTCTAAGTAGGTACCTACCAACTGTTTTACCAAATATATGTTTTTTAAATATTTATTTGTTAAGTAAAATATTGTAGATTAATTTATTGTGTAGCTGTATAATAGCTGTCTTGCATATGAATATGATAATTGTTACTTACCTAGAACTTACATTTTATCTATTCATTGCACTGCCTAAATTTTATACACAATATCTACATACAATGTTTTTGCCACAAGAATAATGTCAGGTATGTAATAGGTGGACAGTCCAGCCATTTCTTTCATGCACTCCATCAAGACTAATTTTAAACTTTGTTACAAACAAAAATAAAAATTAACAGTAGACTTACAAGTTTATTTCCTCTTGTTAAAGCTCTTTTACTGGGCTACTGCACACAGGAAACCACAAGTTTAATGCACTATGAATACAATGATGCTGTGCAGTGTTTCTAAACCCAAAAAGTTATATCTTTTGTACCTTTTAAATTACCTACTGCCTCACTATGAAGTTGATGGTCTTATTGAATTTTAGATTATACTCCTAATAAAGTAATTAAACTTACTTAGATCCGAAGCCAAAGCTTTGAGTCGGCCTCCTTCCCAGATCTTCCACAGGTACCGAGGAGTGTAGAACATGACGGACTGTCCGAGCAGCACAAAGCACACCCACTGGTAGTAAGTGTGCTTGATCTCTTCATCTTTGCCAGTTTTCAGGGGTCCCACTCCAGGGTAGGCCATGTTTTTTCCTAACAATAGATACAGATTTACTTTAGAATGTTTTATGGCTTTAAAAATTGTTATTAAAGTTCGTATGAAAGCCTGAAACTTGGAATATTTGATAAAACTTATGATCAATGGTGTTGAAATATTTATAGGCATAACTTAACATAGCATGATGTTAATGGGCGATGTCACGGTGGAAAAGACCTTACCAACGACTCCATGGAGGCTGCTCTTCAGCGTGTAAGTTCCGTAGATCCAGCAGTAGCTATTTATCGCGTCCTTGTCACTATCTTTCTCGCTGTCGCTCATGCAGTGGATCGGCTCGCCGAAGAACTGCTTCGAGGTCACCATCAGCGTGAATACAAGCAGCATTATCACAGTAGCTTTGTAGTGCATCCGAAAAATATTGTTATCCGTACACACGTTTTCGAATTTCAGAAATGCCCGAAAGGGCATGAAAAGGTCTATCATTTTCAAAGTTAAAGTGGTTTCCCAGCACAAACTACTCTGCACAAAACTTTATATCTACAAATTACTTCACAACTACCCACAATTAGTAAAATAAACAAGAATCACAATTTCACCGCGCTTACTTCAGTCAATCAATCAAATTCAATGAAAAAACAATTATGACAACCGGAAATGAATTTTTTTATAAAATTAATACGGTTGGCAAGATTGAAAATGAACGTCTTAGTGATACTGTTGTTAAAATATTTAATTGTGGGCTATTGTCAATAGCCTATTGAACACATGCATGCACATAGTTGTTGTTCTTTTGTATATTTTTCTTTTTTGTTCTGCGATTCTGTGAGATGGTAGTTTGGTTTTATGAGTGAAGAACTGAGACATTTCCTAGGCCCGGTTTCTACTAAGGCGGAGCGGAAAAACATGTTTTCATTTTTATCAATTTCATTCAACCTGAATTTCTCCGCTCCGCCTTGTTAACCGTTTTCCTGCTGTTTCCAAAATCTAAATTATTCATATAAAGCGCAACCCAATGTTATTGACATTTAAATGTGTAATAAATAATAGAGTAGGATAGTTGCGACTCACTACTGTACCTACTAGACTTTTGGTTGCAATGTAAAAGAATACAACATTTCACATTAAAGAATGCTTTATTCCATAAAGAAATCATCCATTTACCTTTTTACATAATTTATTATCACAAATAAAAAAAAGGTACAAAGGAAAGTTACAATATTATTGAAATGAGTCAGCTTACAATAATGTTCGACTTATATCAAATTGAGCAATCCATTTCCATTTGAATATTTCATAACTGATACTGACTAACGGAACAGAAAAAAGAGTATTAAACGGAAATCCTTAAAATACTGGTTATTAGGAACAAAGACAAAACTTAAACATTTTACTTACTTCACAATATTCTGTTAGTTCCAAAATAATGTGAATTATTTATAAAATTTAAATACAATGTTTTATCATGTGATTTGACGTATAAATGTGTAAGTGTATTTAAGTGAAAATATTATGAAATACAAAAGCTTTAAAATTATATTTATTCTTATACCACCCCACCATTCGATTCACCATTTATTAAATACATAATAATCCTTGACTAGGTAAAATTATTATCGCTGGGTACTGTAGAGGAGACAAACACAAACTAGAAAATGTTTCATCTACCTCTATTTTTTATATTTAGGCCTATAATTTACTTTTGATTGACATTTCCTCATGATCTTCATTGTCATCTCCAAGCACCATATTTCCGACTGCAAAAATATTATCTGGGTCCAAAGCTTTCTTTGCGGCTAAGAGCAATAGCCTGCCAGGTTCACTCACTGTATCAGTATACCACTTCTTACGAAGTTTGCCAACCCCATGGTGATGAGAAATAGAACCTGTAACAAAATAAATCATGTAAAAGAGCCATCACGGTGCCGCGTGCCGCAACACTAACTTTAAGTACCTAGTTAATCAAATTAATTAATATAGAGAGTAAGTACATAATATAAAATGATTGAATTATGATTCTAAGAATTTAAATGAATATAGAAAAAAGCTCGATAAAAATTTTGTTAGTTGCAATGCTACGGTCTCTAAAATATCGAACAAAAATATTTTTTGAAATCTGATAATAATTGACAGAGGTATTTGGTAACATAAAAAAACAGTTGAATTGAGTACTTTCTTTTTTTGACGTCGGTTAAATAGTAACGTTTTAGTCACAGTTTCACACGGTCGTTTACTTTTAATTTTTTTTAAATTCGTTCAGTTTATGGTGCCAGTACTGCCAACATTATGGAGTAATTGATTCTGCTCTCTGATTGGTTAATTTTCACACTCACCACCGGAAGCGATGATTTCGTTTCTGGCTGCTTCTTCGATCTCCTCGTAGGTGGCCACGGGGTCAATGCACTGTTCCGTGTTGTGAGCGAAGTAGAAGTAGATGCAGCAGCCAGCATCATACCTGAAACGATACAAGGTTGGTTTTTGTTTAGTTTTAGTCATTCTTTATTAAAAGGCTTTTTTTTCTATGATGAGATCCTCTCCCAAAGCATGAAATTCAGCCCGTAATCCATTTGAACCAGGACTTCTTCGGATCAATTAATGTTGTTTCTTTGGCACTAAGTAGGTCAAAGTTACTCACGTTTGAGTGAGACGGCAGGATACGAGGAAGTGTTCAATTTTGCGTTTCTGGCACTCTTCCCTGATGCACCGCTTCACGTTGCGGCACAGGGCAAGAGTGCGGTCCCAAGGCACTGATGTCTCGAAGGATTCAGCAACCACGTCGTATTCCATGCCCACATCCTGAAATTAACAATTTATTGATGAATTCTTCACATTTCCTAGCTAGATGGTTATCTACATTGAGACTTGGTTAAAAAAACTCAGTCGTAAGATTGATTGTGGGTGTTCAGTGGGTTCGTTCGAAGGTCCAGTCCGAGTCTTGGCGTTCCGTTTCGTTTACCATATTTTGACTTAAACTTAAATTGGGCATTACTGTGTCACACACATCACGATAACCCAAAGATTCGCGCTATCGTGATGTGTGTAGTAGGTATTCCTGAGTTTTTGCAGACTTCGCTCCGCTGGTTGCCCGAATGTTATTACGGTTTGTGTGGCCCAGGGGATAAAGACATTGGTGTCGTCTACTTGAGTTATTCATCATCATCATCATCATCATTTCAGCCACAGGACGTCCACTGCTGAACATAGGCCTCCCCCAATGACTTCAACATCGCACGGTTGGTAGCGGCCTGCATCCAGCGCCTTCCTGCTACCTTTATCAGGTCGTCGGTCCACCTTGTAGCCCCTCACTATAGGCCTTATACAGAAGCTCAAAGTTGCACAGCGTGCTATGGAGAGGGCTATGCTCGGTGTTTCTTTACGAGATCGAATCAGAAATGAGGAGATCCGTAAACGAACTAAAGTCGCTGACATAGCCCGACGGATCAGCAAGCTGAAGTGGCAGTGGGCAGGGCACATAGTACGCAGAACTGACGGCCGATGGGACAGCAAGGTTCTGGAATGGAGGCCACGTACCGGAAAACGCAGCGTGGGACGTCCACTTGAGTTATTGTCACTGTGTAAATCTCGTCTAAGTAGGAGGTACTCGAGGAACTGACTTAATTCCTGTTTGGACTTAAATCTGGACGTGCCGTTAGCCATATTATCATAATACTAGCTGAACCGGCGAACTTTGTTCCGCCTTAATGGCAATAAATAAGCAGACTTTTTTTTATTTCGAACGGGATAAAAAGTATCCTATGTCCTTCTCCTGGCTCTAAACTACCTCCCTGACAATTTTCAGCTAAATCGGTTCAGCCGTTCTTGAGTTATAAGTGGAGTAACTAGCACGACTTTCTTTTATATATATATACTAGCTGACCCGGCGAACTTTGTTCCGCCTTAATGGAAATAAATAACGGGATAAAAAGTATCCTATGTCCTTCTCCTGGCTCTAAACTACCTCCCTGACAATTTTCAGCTAAATCGGTTCAGCCGTTCTTGAGTTATAAGTGGAGTAACTAACACGACTTTCTTTTATATATATAGATGATTATTTCAACTCACCCTGATGTAAGCGATGACGAACGTCAGCGTGTATCCTCTCTCCCCGTTCTCTGCCCCAGCCGGGACGCCGCCGTACTGCGCCGCTATACTGTTCAACTTCTTCTCCCTTTCAGTGACCTAATACATAAAAAATAATAGTTTAAAAATAGTTTTGCTCGCGGTTTCACCCGCGTAAAATTTGGTTTGTCACAGACCGTCATAAATTATAGCCTATATGTTATTCTGGGTTATAAACAATAATACTGTAAAGTTTCATCAAAATCCGTTCAGCAGTTTTTGCGTGAAAGAGTAACAAACACCCACACAAACTTTCGCATTTATAATATTAGTAGGAACAGTCATTATTTGCTATTGAGCATAATGAGAGAACTCTCCATTGTTGTTATGCGCGTCAGGGCTCACGGTGATCAAACAAAACTGTGTTTTTGAAGATCTTAAGTTGAAAACAGCACTTTATTGGGCAATGGTGTGTTATTTGTTGTATATCTTCTTATTCCAACCCAGATCATCTCATTAAGCGAGCAGCTTATAATGCCGCTACAGGTTTCAGGCGATGCTGGTGATTGGAGAATTTCAGCCCGTTGATCTGCTACGCTCCTGCACTCCATGATCACTTACTGTGGCTTTTCTTCTGCCTCCATATTTCTAAGATCTTGTATACACTGTGAACTGTAATAAATCGAATACTGACCTGCTCCTCAGTGCCTTCCATCAGCAGGGTGACCACACACAGCTTGGTGGGGTCGAACCCTTTGATACGGGTGATATAAATCCGCTTTAGGCCGTCCAGGATGACCCCGCCCCATGACGTCTCGGTTTTGAGGGCTTGGCCGAAACGGAACTGGAATAGAATCGGGCATATTAGTTAAAGGAGTTACACGTATACAACAATATCTTCAGATTTACTTGTCTTAGATGATAGAGCCTAGAGTCACGACTTGTGGATTAAGTTCCTGATGGCATTATTTGTCAGGAGGGGCCCAGACACTATGCGATTAGTATCGTAAAGTAGATATTCTATTTCTAAGATTTTCTGGTAGCGGGCAGGCTGGACCCTGCCTTCCCCTCTTATCCGCCTATTGCGTTACAGTAGAATAAGTTTCTGTCATCATTAGTCAGTGGTGCCAACTGCTAAGTATAAAAACGGCGGCCCAGTAGTAGAAAGTCCTCATTAAATAAATAAATAAATATCCTTGGACATTTTACACTGCGCTTCTAGTCCCAAACTAAGCAAAGCTTGTACTATGGGTACTAGACAACGGATATAAACATACTTAAATACTTTTTTTTTGTAAATACATACTTATTATACACTAGCTTTCCGCCCGCGGCTTCGCCCGCGTGGAATTTTGTCTGTCACAGAAAAACTTTATCGAGCGCGTCCCTGTTTCAAAAACCGGGATAAAAACTATCCTATGTTCTTTCCCGGGACTCAAACTATCTCTATGCCAAATTTCATCAAAATCGGTTGCGAGGTTTAAGCGGGAAAGCGTAACAGACAGACAGACAGACAGAGTTACTTTCGCATTTATAATATTAGTTGGGATAGAAAACACCCAGTCCAATACAAACAAATATGTTCATGCACACAAATGTTTGTACTGTGCGGGCATCGAACCCGCTACCTCCGGAGGCTCCGGAATAGTAGTCCGTTTCGAACCACTACACCAAACGGCCGACATTACCTGCTCGTTGTCCATGAGCCGTATACTAGACGGCTGCAGGCGCTGACGGGCCACCTCCCACTCGAAGTGGAAGCCGGACTCCCAGTCCGGGAACACCAGTCTCTTAGACACATTCAAAGAATTACCTGCTCGTTGTCCATGAGCCGTATACTAGACGGCTGCAGGCGTTGACGGGCCACCTCCCACTCGAAGTGGAAGCCGGACTCCCAGTCCGGGAACACCAGTCTCTTAAACAGATTCAGTCTCTTAGACATATTAGAAAACCTTTTACCTGCTCGTTGTCCATGAGCCGTATACTAGACGGCTGCAGGCGCTGGCGGGCCACCTCCCCCCACTCGAAGTGGAAGCCGGACTCCCAGTCCGGGAACACCAGTCTCTTAAATACATTCAGTCTCTTAGACATATTAGAAAACCTTTTACCTGCTCGTTGTCCATGAGCCGTATACTAGACGGCTGCAGGCGCTGACGAGCCACCTCCCACTTGAAGTGGAATCCAGCCTCCCAGTCCGGGAACACCAGTCTCTTAGACACATTCAAAGAATTACCTGCTCATTGTCCATGAGCCGTATACTAGACGGCTGCAGGCGCTGACGGGCCACCTCCCACTCGAAGTGGAAGCCGGACTCCCAGTCCGGGAACACCAGTGAGCCGTAACGCGTCACAGCCGGTATAGGGCGGATTTTTAGAGTCACCTGTAAACAAAGTACATATTTTAGAATGCGTATATCCTTGCGCCATTCCATGTATTATTTTTGCAATGGGTCCTACATTAGTCTTCTCAAAAATAAACCCAGCAAAGATAAAGGAGTACAAAACAGTAACGTATTATTTTTGAGTAAAAGCCTAACGCCCGTATGAGATCTCAAAGTGCGCGTGGACGCACAGGGTGACACACGAACCAATCACTGAGTTCTATTCAACGCCGTGCGTTCGATATCGTTTGTGCTCTTATTATCTTATCTCTCCTTGGCTCTGGCTCTAGATAATACGCGCACAATGAATACCTTTTTTGTCGTTTCATATCTCTCTCTCCAGGGTCTATAGGCATAGGCTTACCTCTGTGACGACTCCGAAGCATCCCTCAGAGCCGAGGATGACGTGCTCCCATTCCGGCCCGCAGGATATCCGCGGAACTCGGCAGCTCTTCTCGATCACTCCGCGAGGAGTTACCGTCTGTAAACCATAGACATCAACAATCAATTTGTATTTTAGAGAGCCTGACAGAACGCGATTCTTACATAGAAGCTGTAGGGCGTATGGCAATTCACACGTATACTAGAGGCTGTAATAGGGCAATAAGATCACATGACTTCACTTTGGTCGCCATATGAATTGATTGATTTATGTAGAGTAGAGTAAGGAATAGATTTCATGAAGTTTTGCCTTGGAATTATTGGTTCTTATATTCGATTTGAGATATAATTAGCTAGCTGTAAGAGGAATATCGATAGTAAAATGGAGGGTCTTCTACTAAAATTGTGCCCATAACTTCACATAAGGAAAACCAATTCTCATAAACAAACGATGGCACATCAAGCTAACTTTCTTGCGCTGCTTCTTCTCAGTACTGGCCCATTTATTGTCCTAAAGCAGTGGTAGGGTTAATACTGGGACGTGTAAAAGTGCTTTTTAAAGCCTATTTGCAGAAATTTTATGAGTTTTAACCACTGTTGCAAAACTGCACTATAGGAAGTTTTAGTTGATGCTATTATGAAAAAAATCCTTGTAGGCAGATGGGGTGTCGACTGTATATTTATCTATTTACCTTGGTCTGCACGACAAGGTCCTCGATGTTGCCGTAAGTGTTCTTCTTCATGCCGCTAGCCCTGGTGGCCACCCAGCCGCCCAGTGTGGAGAACTCAAACGAGTCCGGTTCATGGCCGACCGTGAAGCCGCGTGCTCGCATCTCACGCTCCAAGTCTTGGCCCACGATTCCCGCCTGGAAGGGGAATGAAGAAAGTTCAGAAACAGCACAGTTGTGCTACATTTAGAGAAGCTCACATATTTTTTTAGTCATCATCATCAACAGCCCTTTACAGTCCACTGCTGGACTATGAGCCTCCTCCACTATAGTGGAGGGTTTTGCCATAATCCCCACGCTTGGCAGGCACTCGCAGTTTAAAAGAGAGCGCTGTTGCCCGTTCTCTGTTTGATGTGTAGTCCCTAAGTCGCTTCTTACGACACCCGCGGGAAGAGTAGGGGTTGGTGACAAATGTATTCTTCTCTGCCGTCACCACTCACCACACAGCTTGTTTGTTACTGCGTGGAAAGTATTTGCAAATTCATTTGGTCTCTTTTTTTCCTGACTGCACGAGAGTCACAACGTTTCTCTTCCAAGACTTCATACAGTGAAATTTCAATTTTTTTCCCATACAAAAACATGTTTGGGCCACAAAACTCCCCCTTTCAGATCGTAGTTTTTCAACCGACTTCAAAAAAGGAGGAGGTTTTCAATTCGACCCTTATGTTTTTTTTTTCTATGTTTGTTACGCGATAACTCCGCCAATTATGAACCGATTTGAACAAATCTTTTTTCGGCGTATAGGTAATATCTCAAGGGTGGTCCCATTTAAATTTAATAATAGAAAAAAACAACCCCCAAGGGTGGAAAATTGGGGATGAACTTTTTTATACGCAATATCTCCGCCGATTATAAATCAATTTGAACGATTATTTTTTTGTTGAATAGGTATTATCAAAAGGGTGGTTTCATGCGAATTTGAAGAAAATATTTCACCCCCAAGGGTGGAAAATTGGGGATGAACTTTTTTATACGCAATATTTTTAATTTTTAGTTTTTTTTGTGTTCACGCATTGAAGTCGGTTTTATTTTTTTTAAAAGTTAATTTTTATTGTAGCTTCTGCCTGCGATTTCGCTCGGGTCCTCTTCGATAAAAGTAGTTTATGTAACATAAAAATCGGCCCTATAGTTTTTGCTTGAAGTAGTCTCAGTTATCCATTCACTCTCACTTTCGCATTTTGAAGTAAATAGATTGAATATTAAGCCACGATAGCCGAACGGTGAAGGGGTCAGACTGGCCGACTCGTGATCCGGGAAACGCAGGTTGTCCCCGCCGCTCGACTATTGTTTTGAGCTCAGAGACAAGCATATTTAGCTTAGTACGAGGGGCTAACGGGACTATTAGTCAATTTGGAAATAACAAAAAAAAAATATTACCTGAACCCTAGCTAAAAGCTGTTCCTTGTCCAGCCACAGTATGTCACACATCTCGCTAGTGTCGAGCACCAGGATAGGTCTGGGCTCGTTCTCCGGGCAGGTGATAGCGCCAGAAACGGAGGTGCCGCCCCCGAACGGAATGATGACGAAGCGCAGTCTGGAGGCGCATTGGACGATTTGTTCCACCTGGATTGACGAGGAAATTAGTTATTATTTTCGATGATGATGATCACCTTAGATTAGACCTTAGATAGACAGAGCAAACTTTATTGTTCACCACACACAAGACAAAAAAATAAAATAAATAAACATAAAAGGATGGCAAAATTTTGGCGGTCTTATCGCTTTAAGGCATTGTCTTCCAGATAACCTAGAGGAAAGTTGGACAGAATATTGACGGTAATTTGACTTTTTTATTTGGTATTTCTATGTTTAGTTATGCCAAATAGGTACCAAATAAAAATATGATGTAAAACCGCCTAAAAAATGTTTTAGTTATACAATAAAAAAATAGATGTTAAACACGTGAGCTGTCTTTGTGCAATCGACGCCACACGACGTCTTAGACAGAAAGACATAAGTCGTAGTAGCTACAATGTGTAGGGCATTGATGTAGGTTATTGGGTAATGTTGTATTATCCGCCTACTGTCAACGCGTTTGCCTGTTTCTGGGCCATGACTGTCCTATTAACGCTAAAGTGCTAATTTAGGCTGACGATGAACACACGAAAAATTACTTTATCCCATGTGTTTAAGTTTTAAATTTGATTATGTATCCAAGGAATCATAGGATTATCTGTACCTCAGTCTCTACATCTTCAGCTATACCTCTCTATGCATCAGTAAGATAGGGTGTCAAGGTTAAGGTCAGTTCTCGTCATTGAATGATCAAATCCTACCTGTCCGTGACTCTCCGGCCAGATCACAGCATCAGGAATCCTCGGGAAGCTGTTCGTTCTCAAACAAGATATATCCTTCAGGGTTTGCCCGTGGGCCCTGATCAGGCGATCCATGCCTTCCACGCTGAGTGGAGCTATCTTCTCCAACTCCTGCTTCACGTTCCCTGGCAGTCTGCTCTCAGGGAACGAAGTGGGTGGCTCTGGTATCTTCGGCGGCTTGTTTACGTCTAACCTGAAGTTTTCGTAGGCCCATTCTTTCAGGTGCGGCAGTGGTTGTCCTGCGAGAGCGTATCTGTAATGGTAAAAAACGCGGATAATTTATAGGTATTTCATGTTTGACTTTCAATCAAGATTGTAGCTACAGTACCACCAGTAATAACACCATATAGGCGTTCAAATCTACCATATTTTGAATTGTATTTTAAGGTCAGGTTCATTCTTAAACGATGAGCATTTATAAAGGATAAAAACATTGTAAAGGCTCATCTTATCCCATAATAAACGCATTTTGTCCCAAGAAAGAAGTCCCAAAAAATCTTTATGGACTTATTATTGGACTAATGACAAGTCGTCAGCCGAATAGAAGGATCTTCGCAATAAGGCTCTACTCTACCTCATTTGCTACGTCAACTCCCGCGTTTTATTCAAATCAATCAAACAAATGACAAACTGACCAACCGAATCGTATCGGCTTCAGATGAACTCACCGGTGAGGTATCGCAAATATGTATTCTTTAAAACAAACAAACATTATGATTATCGTGGCTTGCCATATTATGTGCATTATAATGTGTTAATGGAATACGAAGATCGCATTGATTTGATTAGCGTTTCTATAACAATATCATTTGTATATTGTATTATTTTGCCCACCCACGGCTTCACCCGCGTGAAATTTCGTTTGTCACAGATCGTCATAAATTATAGCCTATATGTTATTCTGGGTTATAAACAATAATACTGTAAAGTTTCATCAAAATCCGTTCAGCAGTTTTTGCGTGAAAGAGTAACAATCATCCAGACATCCAAACTTTCGCATTTATAATGTTATAAATTATAAAATAGTAGGAATAGTAGGATTATAAGGTTGTTCGAAGTCCATTGAGCGAAACGGTGTTATTTGTTTCTTCAGTAGCAACGTATTATGCTCTAGGTCAGGGATGGCGGAGCTTTATGTATCGACTTGCCACCTTTCCAAAAAAGTGCAACTTACAGCTGTCGTTTTAGGTTAGTAATATTAAGATACCATGTACTTAGCTAAGTAGGTACGTATGTACATAATAAACACACGATCTTAGTATTGCTGTGACAATCCCATTGATACTAAAGTCAATTTGCTTTTTACGTGTGACTTGTTCGCAATACTGTCAAGGCATACAATATTAAGTAAATTCTGCTAATTATGTGTTTACTGACCCTAAAGTGACTGTATCTGCCTTTATCACTGAAATAAGACTCAAAATCGGTTAATAATTCTAAAACAGATTTAGAGGATGAGTGTTATTCGATGTTTTTACTGTTTATAAAGAGACTAAGTAGCTTCTTAAAGTACAGTATTGTTCTCTTTATTGAGTTTACGGTAGCCTTGGTTTTATGGTATTTTAACAAGTACCTAGGTAACTGCGAAACTCATAGTCACGTCCAATGTATGAGTTTTTATTATTTTTTTAAATTTATTTTTTATGTTACTTACCTGGAACAATATAAGTATTTTCCAGGATATATAAGTTGTAAATAAATTGACTAGTTGTGTTACTCAACACAACATCTTCACATTGACAAAAATATAATACTTTTCAAGCACGTGATGCACTTTTTCCTTTCTTTAGAAAAATGTTTTTTTTCTACGTCCTTATATTAAAGGCTAGGGATTTAGACATCACTGTCAATGTCAATGACTAACTGTGTCCGAGCAGTAATTAACTGTATCAATTTCATTAATCAGCCGACAGGAGAATAAGTCCAGGAGCTAGAGTCCGTAGTCCAAATCCTATCACAATCGTAATGTTTCTCATTTTTGTGGGGTTTCGTGGAAATATTGGAAAATATTTTTTTGAGTTGACTTCATGGGTTTTCACTCTTTAGCCCAAGAAAATGGGCGGGTCTCATAGCTGTTTGTTTTCTACCGCAGTTAGTAGGCAGGCATAATACTACTTATACCTAAGCATAATAGATTAAAGTTTGAATAAGAAGTTACATTGTCTTTTCTCACAAAGACATCGCGCTTTTCTAACAAGACCATCAAGCACTTTGTAGAATTTTATACTCCATACATAGATGCAGACAAAGTTACAAACATGAATTCCGAAATCGCTTTGTTCGTTCTTTGTAGTTACTTCACATTGGCTACAGGCGCTGCGCCGTACATTATCCCTCAGTGCTAAAAAATTATAAAGGATAGTGCCAGGGTCTGGACCAAGTGCTGCCCAGAGTCAACCCATAGTGCATTTTGTTCCTCAGGCCAATACTAATGTGTAAACCGAAGCGCATTGAAATCTATCCCTGGAGTTAAGAGAAAAAAAGAGTTTTGTTTTGAATTATTTACATATAAAATATCATCCATATATACGTACCACGCAAAATATTTCGCAATTGTGCCATTAAATAACACTAGATATATTGACCTTAACCAAACTGCATCCGTACACCTTACTTTGGTGCGATTTAGACATTCTTTATAAACGATCTAGCGCTGTTTTAATAGTTTGGTTAGTTGACAAAAATTAATAATTTCCAATATGGATCAAGAAGTTTTATCTTACAATAACTTTAATAATCGATTGTAATACACCAATAAATTCTTTTTTTGCAAGGATAGAGAACTGAAACTTCTTGCTCCATTTTGGAAATAATTGATTTCTGTCAACTAACCAAACTATTGCAACAGCCGCTAGATCGGATAAAAAGAATGTCTAGTCGCACTAAAGTTAGGTGTACGGATGCAGTATGGTTAAGTTCAACATATCGAGTGTTCTATAATGCCACAATTGCGAAATCTTGTGCATAGTACGTATATATCGATGATATTTTGTATGTAAAAAATTCAAAACAAACCTATTTTTTTCTCTTAACTCCAGGGATAGATTTCAGTGCGCTTCGGTTTACACATTAGTATTGGCCTGAGGAACAAAATGCACTATGGGTTGATTCTGGGCAGCACTTGGTCCAACTTCCATACATGGATTGGCACTGTCCTTTTGACGCACATGAAAAGCGAATAAAAATCTTCCCATACATCCGTCACAAATGTTACCTTGCCTAGGTCCCCTGGCCCCTAGAGCACATATCCAGCGGTTGGCATCACCGCGTGCGGGAAGTGCCAATTTGTCCGCCCACGGGTGGACACTGGAATGCACTGGACTCCACTTGACAGGTCCACTTTCTGTCATATCTCTATCACTAACGAACATGAGATGAACTGGGGCCGAGTTGCACCACCTTTGTAAACGGAATTATAACAATAAACGGTGTTTTTTGTGTGGAGTTTGATAGACTTTTGACTTTTGCTAGAGTTAAAGTGAATAAGAACTTACAGGAGGGCAGATAAGTACCATCCTAGACGATTGCGATCAAATACCTGCCTTGTTCTGCATAAAAAAGTAAGATTGGTGCAACCCTGCCAAAGTGCCAACCCAGGCCAAGTACCAATTCAAATTCCTACGACTGACAATTTTATTTGTATATCGTACACAAACATCAATGTTTAATGCGAATTTATTTCCAAGGTAATTGCAAATTTTGACACAAGACGGCAACGGTGTTTTTTAAAGACTCATCAATTCATTTTCAAATATTTGCCCAAATTGTGTTTTTCTTACTTAGAAATCAATATTATTCGCACAGATAACTTCGCAAAGGACTTAGTAGTAGTACTGAGGTAATACTCGTAGGATAATATTTACAAATAAAATCAACAAAAAAAAGTAACTGGTCGTAGCAAATACGGATTCCTATATTCCAAAAATGACCTGCGTTTTGTCTACGTGTAGTTAAATATGACAATCATTATGTTAAACTAACTAGGTACTAGCTAGTATTATATTATCTGTGGTACTAGTTAGTGACCTACTCTGCGTTTCAAATTCAATACTTTATCTGATATCTATGGTTCTACACAAACAGGAAGGCGTTTCATCATTCGAAATTGAATAATTGAGTATTTAAACAACTGCAAAAACTTCTAAAGATAACGAAGATAATATTTGTAGGCATCAGATGGATTTAATCTCAGTCATTTTTCTGCATGGAGAAATCAGTGTTAATATTTCATTGGCGTCATCAAAAACTAATATAAATCTGAGTATTGGTGGAAGGAAGCACCGTAAAATCTGTTTAAACCAAGCAATGGTCTCGCTTCTTGATCTAGATTAGTAAGGCATGATGTTTCGCGCGAAGGGTAGTAAAGGCATTCGTTTTCAAGACTTATTTTGGAGTGGAGGCCACGTACCGGAAAGCGCAGCGTAGGAGAGCACAAGGTGACCGACGACCTCATAAAGGTCGGCGGGAAGGCGCTGGATGCAGGCCGCCACCAACCGGCCATTGTGGAAATAATTGGGGGAGGCCTATGTTCAGCAGTGGACGTCCTATGGCTGAAGTGATGATGATGATTACCTAGATATGTGCGGCATTGGTCCTAGCCTAGCCGTTCGCAAATATTTGCAAACGTTGTTGGCATTGTCATGGAGTGTTGACGCGGTGCAACAATCGCTGATTGATGTCTAGGCCGGCTTGGCCATGCCGTACTAAGTATGTATTTAGTGATCTGTGATTATCTCCAACCAGATACATCTAGCAGAATGAGTCCCACATAACCCACTAGCTGCCCCCTTTCAGGGTCTTTTTTATCGTCAATAAAATACATTAAATTGTCCAGTTATCTACAGTCTTAGTTCATGGCGAATAACCTCTTTTTAAGAATATGGCCTCCATAATTTAATTTCTAGAGCCAGGGTTTTCTAGATTAAAAGACTGCCTTGAATATTGCCCCCTCCCTGCATTGTACATTTATGTACGTTGCGTCATCCGTAAGACTTCCTTTATTTGTAGTACCATTTTGATACTAATCGAGTGTGATATTTGGACGTTTCGCAATCGCACTTCTGTGCGACTTAATTCTAATCTAGCGAGTCCAACATTTATTTTAAATTAAATGACCTTGTCGATAGAATATAATATTACTTCTTTTCTTACATTTTCGTCATCATGAAATCATTACATGAACTGAAATAATCTATAACTGAAATATGTTTTCCAACTAACCGGAAACTATTTTCTATAATAAAAAAACCCAATTAAACCTATTTCCAGAAAGAGAGAGGGAGAGAAAACTTTCGATGATTTAAAGTGTTATTCTCGGTATTTATATCATTAAAAAAGATTATTTCTTCCAAATAAGTCTATAATATATTTATAACTAGCTTTCCGCCTGCGGCTTCGCCCGCGTGGACTCCGAAAAACCCAAATATTTTACGGAACCCTATTTTTTTTCAAAAAATACAATTTAGCCTATGTTAGGTACTCGTGAATAATGTAGCTTTCGAATGGTGAAATAATTTTTAATAACGGTCCGGAAGTTTTTGAGCCTATTCATTACTACCAGACAAACAAAGTTTTCCTTTTTGTAATATTAGTGTAGATAAATAAGATTTATCATACAACTAGCCACATGTTCTTTATTAATATTATTAAATCGTAACATTTCTTTCTATTATTGCAGTATTTTCAGCTAGGTTTACTTTTAGTTGACATAGGTATAGGTTTGTCATTGTTTTTGTCTCTAGGATAAATGACGAGTACCGGGAGTACAAATACCTAGTTTTTCATTGTTTTTCATGTAAAATACTATGTTAATTGGGAAATTATTTAAGAATGCATTATTTATTTTGCAAAAAGTTCGCTGGGTCAATTCGCTTTGTCGATATTTATGTGTTTTAATGTGTCTCATGTAAAATTAAAAATAGCATTTCTTAATTCTTTGCATTCATTTTTGTTTGATCGCTGATGAAGTTTAGCGATATGTCCTTGTATATGCTTATTTTTAGTGGATGTTTAGTTGTGTCATTAGACAAATCATGTAAGTCTTTTGGAACAAGACTCAACTGTCGAAGTCATCTCACGGTTCTTTCATTTTGCAATGGGCGCGTTTGCCCGAAAATAGCGCTATTTTCTGCCAAACGAGCCCTATAATAGATCTATCTATGCAAGAAGACCACTTGTCTAACAAATAGGTTATTTTTATAGGCAACGACTATAATTAAAGACATCTCTTAGACATACGAGTATCTTTAATCAGTGGACTGAGGAACTTCAACAGTTTTTCGCTATTCAATAATTTAAAATTGTTACCTACGTCACATAGGTCGTAATTTTATTAAGGGCCCTTTTATTAAGGTGTTAAAATAATGTGCAAAGTCACTGCGTTTGAGAGTAAATAGATATAAATACAAGCGACAGAATATCACACTATACATTATTGTAAAGAAGCACTTATGCTTTAGTGCTTATAGATTTTGCGCTTAACTCAGAAGTGCCCGATTGAATGGCGAAAATTGTGTTTTTGAGACTGAATGAGTTAGGCGCTAGAACTACTTATAGCTTGATGTACTGTCCACGAGCCGGAAGACGTATGTAGTGTGTGTGCCTCCCACCAGGTGGACCGATGATCTGGTGAAGGTCGCGGGTGGTGCCTGGATGAGGGCGGCGCAGGACCGGTCTTTGTGGAAAACCTTGGGGGAGGCCTTTGTCCAGCAGTGGACGTCTTTCGGCGAAACGAACGAACGAACTGTCAACAGCTGTAACAGTTTGTACAGACAACAGTAGGTACATCAAGGTAAACACTGGTATATTATGTGATTATAAATAGATGCTAATTTGCAACAAAAATTTACAGTCTGATGTGATGTTGACTCTACATGGGATAGTCTCTTGTTTATCAAAAATGATGGGTATTGTTCCCTACTTTTATCTCTGTGAATATGTCAAGGATACAAAGTAACACCCTGTATGATGAAAATATGTATACAAAACTCACCGGTTTCCGACGAAACGAGCGTGTTCCTGATCCAGAGAGAACCTGGAGTCATTGTAGCCCCAGCCATACCATTTCAGGAGATCTTGCCTGAAATATTATGAAGAAAATTCAATTATTAACTAGGTAATCATTAATTTAATTTAATATTACAAAGTTTTTAAAAAGAACTAAAGCTGAACGTTATTATAATAAATAAAAATAAAGGGATATCAGGAAAGGGAGTGAGGATTCGGTACCCTCACTACGCGAGTCTGACTCGCAATTGACTGTTTTTAATTTTAGAATGTCATTTGTTTTTCCTTGTCCTTTATCTATATATATAAAAGAAAGTCGTGTTAGTTACTCCACTTATAACTCAAGAACGGCTGAACCGATTTAGCTGAAAATTGTCAGGGAGGTAGTTTAGAGCCAGGAGAAGGACATAGGATACTTTTTATCCCGTTCGAAATTAAAAAAAAAAGTCTGCTTATTTATTGTCATTAAGGCGGAACAAAGTTCGCCGGGTCAGCTAGTTAATGATGAAACTTTAAATGGCGTGATCTATGGTAGAGATGAAACGGATAGTTGTTTGGCCGGATACCGGATACCGGATATCCGGCCAGCTGCTAGGCCGGATAGCCGGATATCCGGCGGCCGGATAGTTGGCACATTGTCTCGTTTCATGACGTGTCGAGTTTGGCGCCTCACAGGTGCTTCGAACGCGAGACTAGACCAGTCACACTTTTCGAAAATTGAATCCGTCCGAATAGAATTTCAGATTTTGCCACTTGTCTAGGGGGCAGATTAATTCGGGCGGTTTCGGTTGCCATCGTGAGTGTGTGATTGAATAGCGAAAATTAAATTAGTTTACTTGCTGCGTAAGGCTGCATCACACGGACTGCATTGCAGCTACCGCGCGCGGTCGATATATTTAACTGCATGCAGTTATACGTTCGACTTCGTGCAGTCATGATATCAACTGCACGCGGTCGGCTGCAGTCGCGTGAAGTCAATATCAACTGTATGCAGTAGTGCCTTCAACTTCGCGCGGTCGGTTACAGTTGTGTAGTGTCACCGCATGCTGTCCACCGCCGTTCGCCTGCAGTTAGTCTTGGAGCAAAACGCGCGATGGTTTGAAAAATGGATTTCGACACCGACTTCTTTATTTCTTTAATAAAAAGTAAAGCCAGCATATGGAATTATGAAACTCAAGAATTAGTAACAAAATAAAGCGCAATAATGATTGGGCTTAATGCGTATGCGAATCAATGATATTAAATTTTGCAGAAAAGAATAATAAGGAAATAAATGCAATTGGTAAGTTTACAACTAAAAATTGTATAACAACTTTTAATTTTTACTTATACATGGTGTAAAAACAACTATGAGCAATATTTTGCAGGGCTTAAGAGCTTCAAACTGTGATACTAAACAACTTGTTTAAAAAAACGTGGGTCGAAATATGAAAAATACACTCGACATCAAATAAATCGCACCTCCCGCGACAAGCATTTTCAAACGTATGCATCCCCACTTCCTACCAATATTGGCATCATTTAAAAGCCTAGTTCTAACCTTCATTTCATTAACGGATAGGTTTTTACCCCAAAAATGTGTTTTTAGAAGGATCCAGTTACTTCTTAAAAAAATAGGTAGTTACGCTAGAGCCAACTTTTATGGCTATAAAACTGTTAAGTTGGGATTAATCGCTATCTATCTGTTAAAGAGGAAACGTGAGATAATTATTTGGTTTTATAACCATAAAAATTGGTCTAATTGAACCCATAGGTGGGCCCAAAGTGAGGTATTTTTTCAAGTCACATTTATGGTATATGTTAATCATTTATTAAGAAATTAAATGTGGTTTTCTTTAAGGTTATTTATTGGGCTTTCAAATAACATCAATATTGTTGGGGCACCATGATTGTGTCAGAAGAAAATCGTTAAAGTTCGCGTCGCGGAAGGTGCGGTTTATTTGATGTTGAGTATATTTGGACCTCCCATACAACGTGGCCTCTCACTATGGGCCTTATACAGAAGCTCAAAATTGCACAGCGTGCTATGGAGAGGGCTATGTTTGGTGTTTCCTTGCGAGATCGAATCAGAAATGAGGAGATCCGTAAACGAACCAAAGTCGCTGACATAGCCCGACGGATTAGCAAGCTGAAGTGGCAATGGGCAGGGCACATAGTACGCAGAACTGACGGTCGATGGTGCAGAAAGGTTCTGGAATGGAGGCAGCGTACCGGAAAACGCAGCGTGGGGCGTCCACCTACAAGGTAGACCGACGACATCGTAAAGGTAGCAGGGAAGCGCTGGACGCAGGTCGCTACCAATCGATCAACATGGAAAGCATTGGGGGAGGCCTATGTTCAGCAGTGGACGTCCTATGGCTGAAATGATGATGATGATACAAAGTTCATGATAGTTTTTATATTTTGAACCTTGTCTCTTTGACAAAGTCAACAGACAACTACATGCAGTTGAATATAGCGACTGCGTGCGGTTGTTGTGGTGCAGTCCGTGTGATGTAGCCCTAATCTGACTGAATTGCATCATGTCATCACATCGGACCATCATCAGTGACAAAAAGATCGCCTATTTTATTTGGCAATATTTCGACATTGTTAATGTGATATTTGTAACATTTATGTATTCGTCATTAGAGAGAATAGCCCAGAAAAAGAAATTAGTTTTTTGAAAGGCCTTAATAATATGGCTTTTTTGTAACTTTTTGGACATTAAATAAAAGCCGTTATTATTAAAAGCCCTTTTATTTATATTTACCTCAAAGATTAATGTATTTCATTTTATTAATAGGAAATTGTCGTAGTTTTTTAATATCCGGTATCCGGCCGGATAGTGAGTTACTATCCGGTATCCGGCCGGATAGTAAATTTAGGCCGGATATCCGGCCTACCGGATAGTTGCCGGATATCCGTTTCATCTCTAATCTATGGACACTTTTTGATGAAAATATTTCAAATCTGGGGCTCTGTATTACTAAACTTGTAAGGAAAAATAAAAAACGGGTAGAGCATGCAAGATTTGTCCCCGTTTTCAACATCAATCCCTAATTTTATCCCTATGGTAACAACAGGAATTTTGTTTTTATAGGGGTCACTTAAAAATTAGGAATTGATGGTGAAAACGGGCATTATGTACTTTAGAGTATTTAGATGTGCACTTAATTTCTACATTCCCTGTATGCACTGATTCACTCAAGTTTAAGGAAGTACCCAAAAATAATCTAAGCAGTAGAACAAGATAAGCGATAAGATAAAAGTACGCTGACCGATATACATAGGATGTGTTACCGAGTTGTAAAGTATGTACCTACATCATTTGTAAAGAAAGGTATAACAAGATAACGTTTTATTATAACACTACCTTATAAAAATTGGTATGCAATTTATATGGATTACTAGCTTTCCGCCCGCGGCTTCGCCCGCGTGGAATTTTGCCTGTCACGGAAAAACTTTATCGCGCGCGTCCCTGTTTCAAAAACCGGGATAAAAACTATCCTATGTCCTTTCCCGGGACTCAAACTATCTCTATGCCAAATTTCATCAATATCGGTTCCGTAGTTTAGGCGTGAAAGAGAGACAGACAGAGTTACTTTCGCATTTATAATATTAGTATGGATTAGGTTAGAATAAATCATTTTAAAATAAATATAATATCTATAGAATAAATAGGGACCGATATGGAATGGAGGGGAGGGGTTAAGATTGATGATGATGAGATGATTCAAGGAATCGCGACTTGCGCCAATACTAACACTGTCCAGTGTCCACAGTTCTGCATGAATCAGCTGATACTTTTGACGTTTTTCCGTAAATCAACAGTATGTGGGTACACACGTAACATCAACACCGTACAAAATACACTTTGGGTGTACTTAGCCCTACTGCGACTTAAATCGTGTCGTCATTTCATAATTATCATGTTTAGTTAGTCCTAACTTGCCCAAGATGGGTCCTTGGCTTGTTTGATGACAGTTAGCACCTTTTACATTATGTATAGTTAAGCCTCTATAACGCACGAAATTTGATTCCGACTTAAGTATATTTAAGCTGTTTCGACCAATCACAGACTCAACTTAAATCGAGTTTTAAGGTTACTTTACCTTTTTGTCAATTTGCTAATTCGTCCCATTGGGCTACCTCATAATCTTCCAGTTACAGATAATAATACTACTTTGGTAGGAAAAAACGAATCAACATCGACTCTATATTCACTTATCCTATTAGTAAAAAAATATTTAGAAACTAAACTAAAACTCTTTCAATTAGTACAATGACGAAAGTGATGTAGGTCACACAATGCAAAACAGTTTAGATGAGTTAAGCGGAAGTTTGTACTAAATAACTGTAGTTAGTAGTAGTTTTAAGTACCTTTTTTATTTAAATTTTTGAACTATTGTTCCATACACTCACGTCGGTAGTAGATACCTAAGCATCGAAGGTGAATCGCGACTCAAACAGAAGATAGTATTCTTTTAAATACATAATGTATACGTAGGGTATCTACATAATTCATATACGAAAATACATGAATGCATACAAAGTGTTATTGTTTCATTAATTTCGTATGTATCCAGGTAATTAATTGATAATTGTCATCATGTAACGAATTAAAAATGTATGATTACATATCTGAATGAGCTGACCCTTGATCATAAGTCACAACCTCTTCTGAAGGGTGCAGAATTGAATTATGTTACAGTAAGAATTCATAATCGGTCAAAACCAGTTTTGACTGCAAAAATTAGTCAAAAGTGGTTTTAACTGATACCCCTGGTCTATATAACTTTTGACTGATTTTTCCACTCAAAAGTGGTTTTGACCAAGGGCGTTAGTCAAAATCACAAAACACATTTTTAATAATATCTAAGTAATATCACTAATCATAACACTGTATAAATTTTGACTGATTGTTAATTGGCAATAGTAATCTGTTCCATGGGACAAATCTAGTTTGGGACGGCTATCATAATAATCCCTCTAGCCTTATAATGGTGCTGAATTAGATCAACGGGAGGAAATATTCCTACAGTCTATAGCGCTGTCGAGACTACAAATTGAAGAACACAGAAGTCGATATGGAATTCCACCTAGGCTGTGCATATACATTTATAGATGGATAGCAAAGTTTGCTTCAATTTTAAAAGCGTTGCGTGTGCTTCCGAAATGGGCTGGGCGTTGTTTTTCAGTTTTTCAGTTATGAAGTGACAACGCCCAGGCAATAACATGTTATGTCGTTATGTATGCTCTTATAATATCTCTTGATTTATTCGGCAAACCCCTTAACCGGTTGGTGTCAACAATATAGACTCATCTGCATTAAAAATAGTGAATCAACTTCGTTAAATTGGAAAACGGAAATCAACTCCCTGTATAGTCCCTCTACATCGGCTGACGTCATACGGCAATCTCTACATTGTAAAGTGTTGCAATCATTATATTGTTTTGAAAACTACGACTATAACAACAAACAACTTTGTTTGTCGACACAACAAACACGTACACTAACAGGTATTCCCAACTATACACAAACGCGTGTTCATTGGCCTTGTTATTTTTAGCTGGTGTAATAATATCCTAGAATCGGGAGTGGGCCATAGGCTTACAGTATATGCTCAGTTTAGGTCAGATTCCAAGTGTCAAGGTTCTGGCCAAATTATAGGTTTTATTTCAGAGAGAGACCGCTAAATCCTAACTACTGAAAACCGTACCGTCAAAAGGTAATAAAAGAGGCTGACAGACATGGATAGACAGACAAACAAAGTTACTTTCGCATATTGACGTACTAGCTTTCCGCCCGCGGCTTCGCCCGCGTGGAATTTTGTCTGTCACAGAAAAACTTTATCGCGCGCGTCCCTGTTTCAAAAACCGGGATAAAACTATCCTATATCCTTTCCCGGGACCCAAACTATCTCTATGCCAAATTTCATCAAAATCGGTTCGGTGGTTTAGGCGTGAAAGCGAGACAGACAGACAGAGTTACTTTTGCATTTATAATATTAGTATAGATATAGATGGGGAAGATTGTGAGGATGGATGGCTAAAGAGTAAAACTCTCTTTTACGCAAATACTACTGAAAGCCGTACCAGGCCTGTTCATCTCCGCGAGTTTACATCGAAAACAAAACACGCACGATGGCCCACCTACAGGATACTATTCGACAAGGCCTCACAATACGAGCGAACATTGACTCACGCACGCGTATTCTTGTGTATGATGGAAGAAAATAAAGAAAATGGTGTACTAAATACTGTGCAGTATTTAACTGCCTAAATAATAATAAAAACACAGAATGTACTTTGTTACGTTGCCTCAAGACACTGAGAGGTAAATAAGTAGTTAATATTATTCATGTTCGTTCGTTCGTTTCAGCCGAAAGACGTCCACTGCTGGACAAAGGCCTCCCCCAAGGATTTCCACAAAGACCGGTCCTGCGCCGCTTGCATCCAGGTACTTCCCGCGACCTTCACCAGATCGTCGGTCCACCTAGTGGGAGGCCTGCCCACGCTACGTCTTCCAGCTCATGTTAATTCATGCTAAATCATGTATTTCCTCCGCGATTTTTCGCAGATTGGCAGTTACCTCTCAGAGTCTTGAGGCAACTTAAAAAAATACATTCTGTGTTTTTATTATTATTTAGGCAGTTAAATACTGCACAGTATTTAGTAGACCATTTTCTTTATGTTTTTCCATCATACACAAGAATACGCGTGCGTGAGTCAATGTTCGCTCGTATGTGAGGCCTTGTCGAATAGTATCCTGTAGGTGGGCCATCGTGCGTGTTTTGTTTTCGATGTAAACTCGCGGAGATGAAAAGGCCTGGTAGTACTTATAATTATTCTGTGGCCGTACCGTGAAAAGGTAACAAAAGAGACAGGCTGACAGATATAGATAGACAGACAAACAAAGTTACTTTCGCATATTGACGTACTGGTAACAATACCTACTTGGGCTACTTTGTTGATACGGAATGAATGGAAAACAAATCGTTTACCACTAATATGTATTTTTATCGAAAAGGAAAATCAAGTTATTTTCGTCATGCTAAGGAAAATGCGATGCGATAACTGTTGTAAATATTCAATTGAAATAAAGATTTATCGTTTAAACTGGTCCATATATTTACTACGTTTTGATAAGCTTTCGCACAAATGATAGGCCCGGTATGCGCTATCTTTCAGTAGGTAAGTTAGATTATCGTAATACATCGCATGTCAATGAAGGTTTATGGAACGGTAAATTTTAAGGGCATTTTCTTTAACATCTTCCATAGTAAATACCAATTTGCCTATTGACTCTACATTGAAAATAAACTGTTCACTACATATGCTATTCTTGCTATACTTGGTCCAATTTAAGATCGATTTGTACAAAAATACAAATCGATCTTAAATTGGACATCAGATAAACTAATTGATTGATGACTTTAGAGCATCTAAACAAGTCGTTAATAAAAAATGGCTTCAAAAACATGAACTGCATGAGGAAAACAAATCAATATTTACTGTAGATTTTAAAATATTTAAAAGTTATCCTGTTATAGAAATGTTACTGAAGGAAAGAATTAATGAACTTTTAGATGCAAACGACAAAAAAAAACACAAGTCCTTGGGTCAAAATAGGACTCTACCTAACCAAAAGTTAAATGTAACTACCTCAATTTACCGTTTGTTTCAGTATTTATGTTACAATACAAAGTTTTGATTTCCAATGAAATTTTCCCAAACTGGAACAGCCGAATTTTATGCATTTGTGTAGCCTTAAAAAGTTTTGCTCTTAAATAAGTAGCGTACTTGAAAAAAAATGGAAATTTTTAAGAGGTTTATGGGGAATTCCAAATAATATTATTTTTAAATTTTTCCTATGGGAAAATCGGCAAGTGTTGTAGTGACCTAGTTTTCATGATGCCGGTAGCATATTTGGAGTTCTCCCTAAATAAATAAGTAAGGAAAAAAGTAGAGTCAGAGTAAGTTTATACATCCCCGAACTAAATCCGTATAAGAATATTTAATTAAAAACTGTAGTTCTAGTGTCCAATATAGGTCAATTCTCACAAATTATTGATTTTGTTCACTCACCTCTTTCTGGGGATGGTCCTTTTCACTTTAATAACAGTATCAGCCCGAGTATTTTCGTTGTTTTTATCACTTGTGCTTTTAGTTGCGTCTGTTCGCTCCTTTTGCGTTTCCCCCGACATATTTTTCGAAGCTCTTTCAGCTCCAGTTGGCGTTTTTACAAGGGGCGACGATTATAGATTTGGGTCGGAAAGCATTTGGTGCGATTTTTATAAATCGCGCAGACTGCCGCGCATGTGTTGACAGCGCGCGTCGGTCGAGCAGCATGGCCGTGACGGAGGCGCCATCTTTTGTGTTATTTAAGCGTTGAATTCTTTGTGGTTACGCTATATTTCTGTAGAGTTTGGGTGTCGTGTAATGATTGGATATTATTGTAGAGGGCGCCGTCAGTCATTTTTGAAATAAACATTTTCTTTAGTTTATGTTTTCTGAAATCTATAATTATGTACTTGCAAATCGTCAAATGCTTTCAGTGAATAATTACATGTCTCATTATTATTAAGTTTACTTGTGTCGTGTGTAGGTAAATATAATTATTAGGTAGGTATTATTTTTATTATATTACTTGTAGTCCTACTTTTTTGTATTTTGCTATTTCATTTTGACTTTTTATATTAACTCTCTCATTTACCATATAAATAGTAGATTGGATTAAGCATGGAATGGGTAAAGAAAGGCTTTATTAAAAATTAAATATTTATTAATATTTTTACGTTGTACAAAATAGGTAGTACTTATACTTAACTCTACTTACATTAATTATGATTTTAAAGCGTGACTTTGCCGTGGGCAGTCGTTTTAAAATAAAAGCTTTGCTTATTATAAATTGGAAATATAAAATAATAATTCACTGGCAAATGTACAAAGAAGAAATTTGAAATAACTTTTATAACAAAAATTAGTAAACATTTTCTTAGAAAATATTGTACAAAAAAAAGTTCAAATAGTGGTTTCACATATTCATGCAATAAACATATACATATACGAGTAATAAATAAAATTCAAAAGTTACAAATTAATTGACGGTATTTTCTGTAGAGATTACGTTGTAGCCAAAAAGCTTTCATATTATTATAATAAGAGCTACAAGTATTATGTATATCTGACTATAAACACTTACAGAAGGACGTTTATCGTTTATATCAAATATACTCAACATCAAATAAACCGCACCTTCCGCGACGCGAACTTTAAGGATTTTCTTCTGACACAATCATGGTGCCCCAACAATATTGGTGTTATTTGAAAGCCCAATAAATATCCTTAAAGAAAAACACATTTAATTTCTTAATAAATGATTAACATATACCATAAATGTGACTTGAAAAAATACCTCACTTTGGGCCCACCTATGGGATCAATTAGACCAATTTTTATGGTTATAAAACCAAATAATGATCTCACGTGTCCTCTTTAACAGATGGATAGCGATTAATCCCAACTTAACAGTTTTATAGCCATAAAAGTTGGCTCTAGCGTAACTACCTATTTTTTTAAGAAGTGACTCTGGAGCCTTCTAAAGACACATTTTTGGGGTAAAAACCTTTCCTTTAATGAAATGAAGGTTAGAACTAGGCTTTTAAATGGTGCCAATATTGGTGGGAAGTGGGGAAGCATACGTTTGAAAATGCTTGTCGCGGGAGGTGCGATTTATTTGATGTCGAGTGTAGTTCTAAATTATTATGCTTACATACAATTAAATGCATCAACGATATTTGGCTCTACATAATATTAAACATCGCAGCGTATTTTATAATTAATTAATTTTGTAAAATATAAAAATTCCTGCTGCATGTAAAAGTGAGCGATGTAAACATCATAAAATATGATAGTACAATAATATAGGTAGTTAATCCTTAAGTATTTTCTGCAATAAATAGGCAAATACATAGCCCACGTATATCCAAACAAAAGACTTGTGCTATCGAAGTTGATTTTCTGTGATTTTTTTGTTGTTATGGAATTTCATACCTAACGCCCGTATTCACAAACAATACTATGAGGTCTCACAGAGCGCGTGGCGCGTGATTCAACGCTGTGCGTTCGATTTGCTGCTTCACGCAAACATCGTTTGTGAATACGGGCGTAATTCATGTTTTAAAGAAAATAGATGAGCTGAAGATTTTAAATTGATTATAAAGAACATAATTATTATGTTCTTTATAATATTATTATTTTAAAATGTAGAGTCCAACATAAACATTCATCATATAACAGAGCTGTTGATGCATCAAAAAAGTCGCGAGAATGTTTAGTAGCTAAACCAAAAGTAAAGTATTAAGATCAAATGGCGCATAATGCAACCTACTGCGCCATATTATTACAGAATCATGTCGGACGATGTCGAAAATTAAGGTTTGCCAAAAATTTACAATAATTTTGTACGTAGAGCTGTCTCTATACTCAACAACTCCTTGTTCAAAGAGAGTTGGATGACTTGGACGAATACCAAGTCAACTTGGATGATAAAAAATAAATGATATGTCAGATATTTAACTAAGTACTGACAGTTTCCTTTGTCTGCGACATGAGCCTATACTACAACTATAGTAATAATTTAAATTCGTTTCGCAGTCTTACTAATATCTAAGCACCTATCGTTTATCTAAAACTAAACGCAAAGCAACTATTTACAATGATTATTTACTTATTCTACTGTATCTATTTATAACTGTCCTGTAAAATATAGCTTGATTTGTATGACAAGTCTGAGTTCATCATTACATTCAAGTTCATTTTCTTACGCACATAATATTATTACCTACAACCATTTTATTCCTGTCATACAAATCAAGCTTACACACAGGCATACATGGATAATGTAAGTTTTTACATAGTTTTCATGAAATAATCGTTAGTACATAAGGCAGATAATTTGTAATGTTCTTTCAGTAGACTGTTATGAAAATAAAACTTTTTGCCTTTTTAATAAAAATCCGCAATAATAATAAATAATGATTATCTTGAAACAATATTTCAAACATGTTACAGCATACTTTTATGAGCCTCAATTATAAGAAGTGTTACAAAATAAATCAAATCGCGTTAACTGTACTAAATAAGGGGAATGTATGTGCGTAATGTTCAGAAATATGTGTAATGTGTCAGGTTCCTAATAACGTCATTTAATACTCGACTATTATACCGCTATTAGGTACCCAGATGGATATGTGGCCGTCGGCAAGGAAATATTTTATTCAAATCAACCTCAGAAACTATCATTTAAACGAGATTAGCAGTGATTATCTCTACACATTAGATCAGTACTTCGCAGATTTACTAAATACAATCCAATTTACAAAGCAGGAAAGAAGTTGAAAATTATGGGAGTAGTCTGTGGTACTCCGCGGACTTCTTGTTCTTCTCGATGACGTAGAAGGACTTAGGTTTGCCGTTTCCTGAGAAGTATTTCCTGAAAGACGTCTTCTTGGCTGGGACGTAGTAAGCGAGTGCGTCCAGAGAGTTCGGGTGGTCATTGGTTCCCTTCGGCCAGGTGGGAGTGCTCTCTACATCGACGATTTCGTCGTCGAATCTGGCTTGTGGTCTGTTCTTGGCGAGTTTCTGGAGTACTGGGATGTTCCAGTGATAGACCCTGGCAGGTTTTCCGTTGCTGGTCATTTGGAGAGGGAGAGTGCGGGCGGCGGCAGGGGCAGGATCAGCGTGTGAGTAGTAGCTGGTGTTTGGAGGCAGTTTGATGACGAACATCCTTGAATCGCCGCTGGCGTGTCGTCTTCCTTGCTCCGCTAGCCTCTTGCGGTGGTGGGCGGCCGGTATCCTGAGCTTCTTGAGGCCGAGTGAGCTGAGGAGCTGGTGCGTGGTGGGGTCCTTGGGGTCAGTGGTGAGGTTGTTGTCATGGCTGGAGGATGAGGCGGGCGCTGTGGTCGCCGCTGCGATGGTGATGAGCAGAATTGCAAAGGTTCTGGAACAAAGAGAAATCAACATTAATATTTGAAATCAAGACAATAATCATAGGTTTTTGGAGTTACCCATCTAAGATTACATTAGGTTTTTAAAGATTCCCACAATCTAAAATGGTAGATATGCGCTTGTGCAATTGCTTGTGCATTACAATTTACAAAGTATACAATGCATTATCATTACAGCCAGCAGAGGATAATGTTTGTCGTAGCGCTGTTGAATTCCACGAAATGCGTTTCTCTTAGCGACTCCAAAGAGCGTTGACACTGTTTGCGGGCCTTCAACGAAAAGGCAAACAAAGCTACAAAACTACGTCGCTTCCTCGTTTGCAATTAGCATAAGGTTTACTATGAAGCACCTAGAACCTTCCACAAGCTTCAAACGGTACTGGGACAATGTTGTTTTATCACTTTACGATATGTACCGTATGTGTTACTGAATTCAGTAATTAATACAAACATAAACAATCATTTTACGGCAAACTAGTGAGCTGGGAAAGTAATTTTCGGATTGAAGCGTGTGGGGCCTTCGTAATCGGTGTTAGGTACTTAAAATCATTGCTAATTTGGCGTAACTAATTCAAGTTTATTATTCCATAAATTATCAAAATTCAATTTCGTGTAAGTATACATCATACGTTTCATAATTCATAAAGTTTCAATTCCATTAGCAATAATTTTGCCGAGTGGGTCGTATTTCTAGGAAAGTGTGACAATGGTCCATAAGTTTTGCGACTGTGCGAAGTTACGCATATGCGTACGCGTTGGTATGCAGTTATTTTGCAGTTCAGAAAATGAGAATTCTAATATTTATCCGACTGCAAAAGAGAGATAATGGTTTTTATTATTGTTAACTCTTCATACACTCGTCTTCATCCAAAATGTTGGATAGGTTAATAAATAAATAAAATGCGCATATTAATTTAAATGTAGACGTGTGCGTGTGGATGTCTCTACTTTTAAATAAGGGCTAGACTGTACACGCGTTAGCCTCTTTAGTAAAAATACATAACGACGTTAGAAAATCGCCTTTAGGCTATACATTATCGTAGTATCGTACACTTTTGGCATGCGTGAGATCGCCATAATGACTATTATAACACTTAAAAAAACAAAAGAACAAGATTTAGGTTGTTTAAAACTACTCTAAGAAAACAACATGTTCTTAAAACCCAGTTCTTCATTATGTCGGCTGCATTTTTTGCCAGTGGCACAGTTTCTGTTTACAATACCACTGATATATTACCAATCCCTGAAAAAATCCGTTTGCAATGCAGTATATGAAGTAGAAAATTGGTTAGGCGAAACTGGCAAAATCATAGAAAAACTGAGGATAACTGTAAGATAATATCTTTACTCAACTCAACACTCAATGGATTACCGGTTTAGAAAACACCACCGATGTAGAAAACTATACTATAATGTCGATTAAGAGTATGTTCAATTTGGGTCTTTCACGTGATAAGAAACTCAGAATCAAAAGAGTCTAGATTGCAAACACTAGACTATAGTGTTCCGCAAACGGTGTACCGCGGCACACTGGTGTACCGTGGTCATTAGATGGTGTGCCCCGGAAAAATAAGATTATCTTAAACATATTTTTAGTAAGTAGGTAAGGGTAAGACTTAAAAGTTGATTTTTCATGTGTGGTGTACCTCCAAATAATTTCGTTTTCCTAGATGTAAATTGAACACAAAATTTTTGCGGAACACTCCACTAGAACAACGGAGGCGTTAGTAGAGTCGATAAACATAAGTCATTTTCTGTAATTACGCTCTTATAAAGCGCTTTTACAGATCCCAGTATTATTTTAACCCTGTCACTGCTTCGGGACAATGGGCCTGTGCTGAAAACAAAAAAGATTAAGTATAAGCGGCCCGCCCCGGCTTCGCACGGTTGCAATGGAATTTTCCGGTTTTTCTCTTCTATAATATACCTACATGTTTTATATCTATAAATCTTCCTCTTAAGTCACTCTATCTATTATATCCGTTGCGTAGATCTAAAGATCTAAGCATACATAGGGACAGACAGCGGAAAGCGACTTTGTTTCATACTATGTAGTATGCGCTATTCCTAAAAGATCCTAAAACGAGTACCTACTATGTGTTTGTTAGGACGGTTTCCGCAGAAGTACTTACATCTGCTTGTTCTAACTATTGGACAACTCGTACCTACATAAAATTTGTTAATTTCTCATGTAAGTGACTGTAAGGTTTTGATTGAGAAATAAATGTTCTTTAAACCTAAAGATCTGCGCATGTCCTCGGGCGTGTTCGCAGCCTTACACTGATTGAGATAAGTTAAATTATAGTTACACTATTTTTCATATCTGTATTTGACATCATGTTCTAGAACAAGAACGTTTGGTTTCTTCATTTATATTCAAATGAAATTGAATGTAAAAGTGAGATTGTAGTTGGATTACCACTATTACAACGATTGGATCTGTCGCTTGAGTAATAGAGGCGTTTACAGCAAGCTCTCTCCACACCATAACAGCAACTCAATCACAGTTATCATGTAAATGTAATTCAAATAGCACATTACTGACTGCAAACTGCAAGAACCCATTTTTAGTGTACCTACCGGAAAGTATTCAGTGCTTTTCTACTGGTTAAAACGTTACGTTATTTATGGAGTAGCTAGCTTTAGTAGTTATCCATTCTAATTAGGTATACATTTTTGCTGCATAATGACACCTATTCATTCTTTCATACAAACATAGGCTGGCATAATACATATCGTTTCATCTTTCTATTCCACAAACTATCTTACAGCACTGGCTGGCATAATACATATCGTTTCATCTTTTTTTCCACAAACTATCTTACAGCACTGAGGAACTACAGCATAGTTTCAGGAATATTTGTGTAGGTATATTTCGTAATACTTTTTATAAATAAAGCCTGAAGAAACAACACAACGATACAACGACAATTAAAAAAAATAGAAACAATGAACAATTACGAGGCCACTGCCTCAATAGGCTCCCCGCTCAGTATTTATCTTGACAAGCCCTTACGAGCTTGTCAAGAAGCTGGTCTTCCGCGGGCGCACTTGTAATTATTACAATTCACATGATCACCCAAATCCGTACCCAAATACAGCATGTTGATGGCCAGTTGTCCGTACCTACTGCATCTAATTCTACTGTGCTTGACTTCAACACTTCATAACGCGGGGTTACTTACTCAATACATGGTAATCTAGTTAAACGGAAGAAAGTGGTTGGTGGTGGTCAATTATACTTATTAATGGTTTTATAGGCGGTTACCAGTTTTCCCTTTTATGATTAAGATGTTTAGTTTAATGTTATAATTTTTGATCGCAAGTAATGTTTAAGATAAGTATCGTGGTTAATAAAATAGTGTAGTACCGAATAAGTAAGCGAAAGCATAGACAATTATAAATAAGACTACACAAATAAATATATTTTTTTTAAATGTTTGTTTTTTTTTCAAGAAATGTCCTAACCAAACTGAGAAAAGGATACACCTAGGATGAACTTTGGATTAAAATGACATTTCCATACTAAATGACAACTTAAGCCAGAGTTCAACTAGGGTGTAACTTTTATTATTGGGGGTATCATATTACCAAACCCGCCGACATGTCTGGAGTCGTCTTTTGACATTTTGGCAAAAAACGCGCGGTGATCGTTTGAAATAAAGCCGCGCGCCGACACTAGCCGGGCTGTCGTCGAGCTTTGTGTGTAGAGTCCTTTACATAGGGAAATCTATTTATTTATCTGGTTTCCATGTTTTCTGAAATTACCTAGTTACTCCGCGTTCTAGTAAACACTAATCAGTGCCGTTACCTGCTTAAATTATAACATGAAAACCCATGTTAACCCACTTGTACGAAGATTAATATTTATATAGCAAATAAAAATTACCGATAGTAAGGAACGTCGATTCAATAGTTTTGATTTCTCATTTACAAATCGACGACTATATTAGCCCAGTATAAATCTATTTATATGATAATGTTCGTATTAGAATCGTAACAGAGCTTGCCCACTTACTGGCATGTAAATGAATAGTTTCATAGTTTACTTCATCAAAGCAACTTATCAATGATCGGGTGTAATATTCTGAAAGAAACTAAACAGTTTTCAGCTCTTACTGCTGAAAGCTTTGGTTTAAATTTCGTTAAATATGATTTTTTGGATATAATTTTATGGTTCACTTTGTGACGCGCCCCGCGACGCATCGACAGCCCTAGCACCGAGCACGGAGATTTTGACAACCCTACGGCTGCGCGGCCGCACGCCGCACGGACCGAGCTAATATAAGAGACGGCGGCGACCGCGGGCGCCTAGCATTCGCTCGGGAGCCATTGCAACAGCCAGACGTTCGCGCGCGCGTCTATCGTTCCCTCGGCTGCATTGCACAGAGTCCCTAGCGAATNAACGTACGTCAAGAACTGCAAAACCTGCACGATATTATTATTATGATAATTTTGTTACGTGGCCTAATTATGTATAATGTAAGTAACTATAAATACTCTCTACGAAAAAGTTTTAAAACGTTATGTAGGTAGAAAAATATTTTTAAGCTTAATATTTCATAGCACAGAATAAGTTAGCACATTGGCAACTTTTGTGATGTATGCAAATGTCTTCAATCGTAATGTATTTTATGAAAGTAAGAAGATGAAAATAGCATGCCTTGGATAATCTGTAAGGCATTTTATAGTTAACCTCAAGTCTAAACCGTTTAACATGCGGCCAAGATCGGATCCGTCGCTGTTTATACAAAACCTGCTAAGAGTAGACCATTGCAAGTGCACAAGTGACCGATTTTGTCAATACTTTTTGTGGCAGCACGGACGTTCTGTTACCGTTGTGTAGGGTGACCAGGAATTTTGCGATTTATAGAAAAATGAGAGAGTTGAAATCGAAAATAATTTTTGTGGCTGTACTTGAAGTACTTAGTATTTGTTTAATCCTAAAGTACGAGGAAAATAAACATTGGGGTCTGATTATATGAAATATCAAGCTGCTGCGAGCAGGCCTGGCTC